GCCTTGAGTGCTGTGGTTTTTCCAATCTCGACACAGGTTCCTTTCCTCTTGCCGTAGCTCATCCAGTGTGATCGCGCTTTTGGTCGTTTGAAGTGATCATCTCAGCGTGTGCAAAGATTTGAGAAGTTTCGTGGAAGTTTCCGATGGATTGTGATACACAAACAATTAAATTGTCTGGAATCGTAGTCCTATTTTCCCATTTTTTTGGGAAAATTGGACCTTTTTTGCCAATTTTTTGACAAAAATTGTTGTTTTGACACAGGACTTTTGCGGTTGTTCTTGGCATACGGCTGATACGCCGCCGTTGGAAAGGTTGTCGATTTTGAGATGTGCCTTTTACGGTGTGTTGTATTGTGTTGTGGTTTTTCCAATCTCGGCACAGGTTCCTCTTGCCATAGCTCATCCAGTGTGATCGCGCTTTTGGTCATTTGAAGTGATTATCTTAGCGTATGCAAAGATTTGAAAAGTTTCGTAGACCCCTCCGATAAGTTTCGTAGAAGCCTCCGATGGATTGCGATACATAAAAAATCAAATTATCTGGGATGATTGTCCTATTTCCCAATTTTTTTGGGAAAATTGGACCTTTTTTGCCACTTTTTTGGAAACAATCGTGGTTTTGGCTGATTGTTTTTGCTCTTTTATGGGTATAATCATTTCAGGAGAAACATATCGCTGAATCTGATGAAGACAAGTGGTGCAGACCTCACCTGCTTTACCCTGATCCCAATGCCCAGGCAGAGACAAGTGGTGCTTTTCTGTCAGCAGTGGCCTCAATTACACGGCGGCATGGATTAGACAGAATTGGAAAGTACGTATTTATAGCCGGAATTGATGTAATATCTTATATAATTATATTATAAGCAGGTAAATTGGCCGGAATTTTTGGCCAAAGCCTTTACTTTTTACGGAAATTTGAGTATTTCGGATTTTCCGAAACTTACAATTTTTTTGATATATTGGTACTACGGGATTTTGATTTAACCGCGAGATTTTCCCGGAATTTGGTACTTCGGGACTTCGCCTCCATTTTCTTTCTTTTTTTACACGGGTACCCTCTAGTATGATATATAATACATTATGGTCATCGACAGAATTATGGAAAAAAAAACACGTTCAATTTAGACAGGCGGCGCCTGCGTCCGATTTTTCCATAATTGGATTTTTCCCATAAGGGTTCAAAATATCCCGGAAGTGATCCGAATCTTTTTTTTCCATAATTCTTGGAGGTGGCCATTATTTCCATAATAGATTTTTCCTGTGAAATCAGGAGGCTAGGGCAGATTGACCGGTTTTTCCATAATTATTTTTTCCATAGTTCTTTTTTTCCATATTTTTTTTTCCATAATTATTTGTTTCCATAATTAATATTTGGGGCTCCACCTGTTGGACATGTTATGGATCCACAATTCAAACCCGTTTTTTTTGGGGTTATGGAAATATGTATGTAAATGCAAATATGTAGTATCAACCCAATTGGTGGGTTGGTAAAAGGAAACATCCCGAATATGTATGTATGTATAATACAATGAATTTGATTGTTGGGAAGCTAATGGTGAAATGGGGTTTACATAAACATACCCGTATATATAATATTATGTATATCAATGGCAGGCTTTAGGGGCATATACCAGATCTTTAGACACATATTTTCTATAATTCTATATTCCCCCTTAAAATGCATTCAAATTACGAACATCACATAATATTATGTATATCAATGGAAAATTTAGGGGCATATACCAGATCTTTAGATATTTTTTATAATTTAATATTCCCCCTTAAAATACATTCAAATTGCGAATCGATGGACATACAATCACCGACAGAATTAAGGGAAAAAACATAATTATGGAAACAATAATTATGGAAAAAAAAAAGGTTCGTAATTTTTCTATCATAGAGAGGTGGCGCCTGTAAATTGAAACATTTTTTTTTCCATAATTCTGTCGGTGACTGTAC